TTGAGCTATTCCGGAACAGTTATTCCAAAATAGCTATTTCAAAATAAGGCGTGTGTAGATGTTCCACTGCTGCTATTTGGAAATAGAATGACCCTGGTGAGGGGCTAAGTTATTCCTCCCCAGTGCCTCCTGGGGCTGTAAATCGAGATAGCACATCTACATTAGGGAAGCCTGCCTTGGGCTAATATTGAGACTTCCCCTTGTGCAGTAACGTCTGTTCTTCGAGGGGTGTGTCTTTGAGGTGTGTGTAATAGAATCTCCTATTCTAATACAACCATTTTCTTAAAGCTAATGGTGAGAGCAAATGCCTGACAACCACTGGACAGGCACTCTATGAGTTCTTATAGTAGATCTTCATCATGGGCTATGAGGGCATCAGCAGCAGCAAATGAGAGTTTCCTAATTAGCACCTTTATGACTTTGGTCTTTGACTCAAGTCAGGACAGGTTGAGAGTTCTCTCGTGTGGAGTACATGCTGTCTTTCATGGCTTAAATGCACAATTTGTGAGTACCAAGAAGACGATTCCATAGGTGCAAGGGCAAGAACACATCTTTGTTTCACTCTACTTTTCATCTCAAAGCTGCCTGAAGTGGACCTGTCAAACTGGACTGTTGCTCTCACATTCTTGTGGAATGAGGGGATTAGACTTAACAGGGTTGGTAGGCATCCTATCTTTTCCAATATTGCAAACACATCTCTGCTGACTGCATCAATGACCTTGGTTAGGTTCACAAAGGCGACATACAATGGTTGGTTTTGTGCTCTGCATTTTTCTTCCCTCATAGAAAATATCATGTCTAGAGTTGATCTTCCAGCACAGAGTCCTCACTGAAACAAAAAACAGGACTATGCAGAACTTTAAGGACTAACAAGATGGTTTAATAGGTGATGAGCTTTCGTGGGCCAGACCCACTTCCTCAGATCAAATAGTGGAAGAAAATTGTCACAACCATATATACCAAAGGATACAATTAAAAAAATGAACACATATGAAAAGGACAAATCAAATTTCAGAACAGAAGGGGGTGAGGGCGGGGGTAAATGTCTGTGAGCTAATGATATTAGAGATGATAATTGGGGAAGCTATCTTTGTAATGGGTAAGATAATTAGCGTCTTTATTCAAACTTAAGTGTAAAGTGTCGAATTTAAGCAAGAATTTAAGCTACACCAGACTAACACGGCTACATTTCTATCACAGAGTCCTCACTGTGATTAAGGGTAGACACGATTCAGTAGCTGTTGTCAACTCACTAAGATGATCGCTATGCATTTGGAACCCTACAGGCCTTTGTATGGAAAAGTAGGGATGGGGGGGGTCAACTAATTTAAAAAGTGCTCTGAGATCCTTGCATGAAAGGCATATGAATATGTGCAAAACAGTATTATTTGTATTATATTGCTATGTTTGCAGTGTACCTTCAAGATAGATGAATCTGAGCTATCCTTTGTCAGACCATTCCTCAAATGAGATGGCCAATTAAAGATTAGGTTGCATGGTCCCCCCCCTTCCCACTTCATTCCAGGAGCACACAATAATTGATTATTACTACATATTAATGCATAAAAAGCCATGGTATAAGCTCCAAAAAGCTTACAGTCTAAATCAGAGACAAATATGATACACATGTGTATCAGAGATGGATGTCTCCTCATACCCAAGGTTGTCTTTGCAGCTCCTTGCTAATAATAACAATAATTTCTCTCTCAAATGGCGCCTTGCAGACTTCACATGCTTTTTCTGAGGTCAAAATGCCCATCCTTGGAGTCTGGGTTTAGTCACAGAAAATAACTCAAAATAAAAACCGAAGTCTCATAAACACAAATTTCTCTTCCGAATCCCACGATCCTCTGCCTGG